CATCCCTCAGGCCCAGTCACCCAGCAAACTGCTGAGGAGGCGCTCCTGAGATCTATATGCAGGGGTAGTACGGATGTACCCTTAACCCTAATCCTTTAACCCTAACCCGCAAACGGGCTGCGGAGGGGTTCAGGTCTTAGGACCCTAAGTAGTTCACAAAGCGGAGAGCTAGCGCACGGAACTTTCTGGAATAGAAAGAACTTGCAGGATGTGCGAAGCTGAAAGTGCCTGCAGCGCCAGCACTTGCACTTGCCAGAAAAAAAACCACGCTCAGAATCTGTACTGAATTCATGTCCAGAGGTTTTGAGAACAGCAGCTTAGATTGAATTCCGGAGGTTTATTCAAAAAAACATCTACAAGCTGGGAGGGAGTGTTTGTATGGAGGTTCAGGAAGACCTGCAAGAGAAAGCGTGAATTGCACAAAGCCCTGCGATTTACAAGGGACTTGTAGGCTGCATCGACATTGCACGCTTTCTTCAGAATTTACCAAAAAGTTCAAGGCCCGAAATAGCGCGTTTGCAAAATTAAAATGCTGCTGGCCCCTTAGGTAATACTAGCCTTAAAGTTCTACGGGGCCAGTCGCCTTCATGCTCTCTCAGACGGGCCTTGTACGGCATCGCGTGCCAGACCAGACCCCCTGTCACATGAAGGTATCTTGGCCGGAATGGATGCTCGTTGACATGTATGCCCTGGTCACGCGAACGTTATAGTCTAGGCCAGCATGGACCCTCGGGGAACAGCACAGTCCGCGTGGATGCGGCTCGGGCGCCAGCTCTATTTCGCGTTGATTTAAAAGGTGGCGAATCAGATGGAAAATGAAAATGGAAAATCAACCGGGAAACTGGGCTTGTATAGGGGTCTAGCACAGGAATTGTAATGCAGGGGCCTAAGCAACTAGAACTGTGGAGAAGCCAAATAGAAAAACCTGCGTTGTATGGGATTACAAGGTAGGGGAAGCAGATGGAAATTTAAAGAGAATTACACGGAAAATGGGAATGTATCTGTACAGAGGGTCTAACCCCAAATACTTTCAATGGCGGAGAAGAAAATCAAACGTGATATAGATCGACTGGAAAGTGACTCAGAAAATTGGGATTGTACAGGGGTCTACTACAGTGACTGTAATATAGCGGTCAGTTTTTGAAGTAGGTGTCCGGCATCTTTTCCTCGAAGGACTGTTAAACCCAAAAACCATAGATAAGGGAATAATTGTGGCAATCATTGCGGCTTCGACGTACCAAAGGAACACGAGATGTAGGGGCCGTTGAGCTATTAAAAGACCTCATAGCCTCATAGTGGCACTAGTATGGGGAGTGATGCCTCCATTCGCGAAAAACATTGGCGTAGGTTTTGAAGCTTCTGACGTGTCAGGGTTTGGGGCTGAGTGTCTAGGGGTCTGCGATTTAGGGCTTCGGATTGGGTTGGCATTGTTCAGAAGAAGATTTGGAAACCTCAACAAGCAAGCAAAGTAGGGCTTTGGGATACGCAATAAGAACATGACCGTTACGTAGCATATGAGAAGTATGCAGTGATGACAGTCCAAAAGGTGTTGCAAACTCATCAAGTAAGCGATTCCTAAACCCGAAGCCCTAAATGCTGTCTAGATTCTGGCCCACATCATGGCGCTGCGACGACAAGGTGTGGCCAAAGGCGCTGTACAAGCTGAGAAACTGTTGGTTCGCTCTTGGCAAACCCTTCAAAGATGCTTCTGGCGGCGGCATGACGCTTGCCATCGGACCACTCAGCAATGTGGGGCTTTAAATGCTCAGACTATGATTTTGAGCTAGGTGGAACAGGAATCATGCTAGTCTGCGCTAGCTTTTCTACAGGCTTTGTCGGCTGGAAAATGATATCTGGCTCAGTCGATACTGACTGCAAGGCATGGGGCACACTGGAAGGCAGTCCCACGAGGGCGCAGCATGTATGGCAATAGGAGCCATTGTCTAAACTCCTAGTATCCCCCTTAATCATCCTTATAATACTCCCCTATATAATCCCCTAGATAACCCCTTTTAAGGAATTTAGACTTGAGCTCATATGTCTGGAGACAGCGGACTGACTTAAGCCTCTACGTCCTTGAGGTCCAGCTTTACCTCCACTTCAATTCAAGCAAGGTGATCACCTTACAACTCATGCTGATCTCAAACCACGCAGAAATTAATATGTCTCCTATGGGGGATATTTAGTCTTTGGGATGGTGTCTGTGTGTGTGTGTTTAACTTACTGGTTCTTAGTAGAAGATAAAGGAATACAACCCTATAGAACCCTATATGATACACTCCCATACTCCCTGCTAAGAACCAGCAAGTTGAGATTACTATGACGAGAAGCCTCTCCTTTACTTCTGCTAACTCGGTCTCAGTGGCTCTTCACTTTGTGGAGCCGCTCTGCCACTTGGGATTTCTCAAAATGCTACCGCCTCTTAGGGACCTTCGTAGAGTCATACTGGGCTTGTGAGGAGAGCATTGAGGCCCATATATCGGGGGTCAACATTGCAGATCCTGTAAGTTTAGGGTTTAGGGTTCAGGGCCGGTTAGGGTTTAGCGTTATATGGGGGGTCAATGTTGCGGATCCTGTAAATATTGTTTTGAGAAACTCCCAACTTCAGACTGGGCAGACCTTCTACGAGAACAGTTTCCGCGGCGGCCGAACATGGTGCCAGGCAGGTCGAATAGTGGTCACATAGGCTTACGGTTGTGCTGCAGGGTCATGTCGGTTGTGTGCGTTTTCGGAGGGGTATGTAGGGTCAGGCCAAATAGGGGCTTCTCAAAATTGGGCGCCTTCAGCCGTAGCACAAGGATTGCATATGATTGTATCATGTCACGGGGGATCATCGTCATTGCATTGGGTTTCCTCATACACGGCATGCCGACAGAAACCTGGATACAAGCAATACCCGCAGGCCAACATTAGCTCCCAAATACGGCAACCTTCCGGGCACTAGGGATAAACATTTGTGGTGAGATGTGGTGAGGGGATTAGCTTTCGAGCATTCTGCACGGTTGAGAAACTCCCCAAAGCCAGCTACAGGGAGTGCGCATAAGACAGAGCTACTTACTTGCACTTCAACGGAACTGTGCTAGGCTGCTAGAGCTCTCACATATTGTCCCAGGCCATCGAATGCACGAGTTAGTCAGCTGGAAGGCAGGGTCTCTGAACCCATGCTTGCGCATAGAATTTGTCACAAACGCATGATAAAGCAACAAGCTGTGCGCGGCATTTCGACACATACCCACATTATCCTCACAACAGGCCTGGGCCAGTACGATCCTTATTCCTCGCGCTAGGGCGCAAGGCGGAAACTAGCCCTTCTGCCGATGCCAGCAGCCCGCGCGTGAACGTCTTCCTGTCAGCTGGACATGATGAGTGTCGTCTGCTTAGGTGTTAGGAATTTGGGGGATGCAGCTCCTGGTTTCCAGTTGCCACTGGTTGAGGTCCATGACATATTGAGTCACTGTGCTCAAAGTTGAAGTAGAAAGTCTGATTTGAATGCCATAGCCTCCACTCCTCCTTGCTTGAGTAAACCGGCAAAGCCTTTTGTGCCACTCGACCTCCTTCCACGGCACGACACCGGGTGCGGCCTATGTCCTGAAATTTGGCTTCTGCTCGGCACATGGAGCCTCCTCATACTTTGCTGGTCGGCTCCTTGGCGACCCCGCCCTCGTCCGGCCTTTGGGGCCACCACATGGAGTCCGACATGGCACCTCCTCATTTTCTAATTGACGGCGGAGCTCCGCATCAGGCGTCTTCTTCAGCTCAAAGGCTCGGAGCTCCAGGTCGTTCTCGATGGCTTGCCAATTCTTAGCCTCCTCGCGCTGCAACTGTGCAAGCTTATATTTGAGCTTACTCTCTTTGTCAGGAAGTGACGCCTTCTTCTTCGCGTCGGGAAATGCAACCACAGGAATTTGGCACAACGGCGACCAAGGGGCTGGAGCTGCGTAAAGGACCCTTGCGTCAGTACCCCTACTATGTAGATGCCTCTGGCTCACAATCTTGAGAAGCCGCGTAGATCTTGAGCCCTGAGCCCAACAAGGTCCTGTGTTAGAACCCCTTACACGTGTACATTTCTGACTTTGAGAAACCTCGTTACATCTTGCGAAAGGATAAACAAGCCTCCGCATGGCAATTCAGTCAGGCCTTGGCATCGCTGGAAGGCGTTCCATCCGTCAGAGCCTGCCTTTCTGCGCTGTAGGATGTTGAGTATAGGTTAGTACTACAGTACTATAGTACTATAGTAGGATAGTACTATAGTAATATATCAATTTCAAAATTCAGTAATAGGGTTTCAGGTGTCAGGACTTGGGTGAGATTGCAGTGAGTGCTTGGCTGCTCTTTACAGAAAACATAATGTCTAGTACCGTCATGCAAACAAGACCACCCCGGAAAAAGACAAAGACAACAATAAAGTTACAACAGCTCCACTAAGACTGCCTCGGCACTATGCAGGACTAACTTGGGGATCTTGTGAGGTTTCCCAGTTTGAGGCCCCACTGCAGAAGAAGTCCCTTTGCTGGGTACTTTTTGGGGCACCGCTTTTCCCTTTTTATACTGGGTACACCTTTTGGGCACAGGGTTTTAGCTTGAGGCCTTAAAAGCGGGCGACCATCAATCCGATTGTCAAGTGACACGGGGAAGGCTTCAGCAACTGATGTTTGGGTCTTCATGGGCCTGAGTGGAGGTGTCGCGTGGGCGTAAAGCAAACTGCGGTACTGAGGCAGTGGTCCATCCAGAGTTGTCTTGCGTTGCTCACAGAACTACGTTCCTCCACGTCATGAAAGCATGCATTGGTTGCTACAGGCCGTCCACTTCTGGCGAGGAACTTCTTAAGCCAGCATTCTCATAAATCCGTTTCATCAGTATCCAATTACATGGAGACCTCCGGCCTCCACGAAACAAGCATATTCAGAAACCCACCCGCTGATAGCACACACCCCACCTTCTAAAATCTGCCCCTGGAAGCAGAGATCTTAAAGCCCCTGCACGTAGAAGCACTCAGCAGCCTCATGCGCAGGGCATCAACCTCATCATGGAGCCTTGCAGTAAAGCGGCTTTCGTGTTTCAAGTCACGTGCTGCGCGGGGGTTTTAACGCAACAAGCTTCGAGTTCAGGGAGGAAGCAAGAGCACTCTGCCAAGCCACACCGAGCGATTGCGGCCACGTGCATGATCGGACTGGTACTCCAAGAGACACCTTGCCGCTTGCCAAGAGCTCATGCATTGCGGTTGAGGTTTGCTGTTTCGATCAGCCATGGCGGGTCCCGTTTAACGTCTGACCTCCTCGAGGCAAGTAAAGGCCAAGACACAATGCGGCTGCACCATCTACAACGCAACACAAAGCAACCCTCCGCACAGTCCCCACGTAGTCTCCCAATCTCCATCGTCCCCATAGTCTTCCATATACTTCATACGTAGACACTCCAGCCATGGAAATGGAATTGATTCCAGGTTGAGAAAACTGATTCAAAGCTGTGCCTTTTCCCAAAAACTCCAAAGAAAATTTGAGTTAAATGCCGGACAGATCCGAAGATGGCACAAAAATGAAAAGCAGATGTGTAATAACAGGATTTGCAACTCTAAACCCCAAACCCCAGCCCAGTTCACAGTTCAAGGCCGGGGCTTGCGGATTGCTTTTAGAATTACATGATGCTCCTGGAATCATGGCCAGGAGGAGCTTGATCGGGAATAAACCGCAAGAAGAGTACAATTTCAGGAGCAAAGTTTCGAAAAATCCTGCGAAAATCCCATGACTCCATCAAAGAGGCTTCATGTTTGTTTGGGAGAATCTCTTGGGGACTGGCTCCGCTTTGCGGAAGAACTCCAGGAACTCATCCCACTCGGCGCTGCCACTGCCATCCTCTGGGGGCTTCCGTCCAGGAGGGAACCCTAATGGGAGTAACTAGGGTTTAGGGTTTAGGTTTAGGGTTTGGGGGGGCATTATCCTCAATAATTGAGAAGCAAATGGAAAAGAAAGGAGAATTGAATGGAAACGGGGCTGTAGGGATTTCAGAGTTTCCAAAATTAGGGGCGCCAGTAAAGGGATGATAGGGGTTACAGGGATTTTACAGGGATATATCTCGGGTTTAGGGTTTAGGGTTTCCGAAGCTCTGACAGCAAGATCCAGCTAGCCTTGTCGATTTCCTTCAAGATCTTCAAGATCTTGGAGATAATCGCCTACATGGGCGCATCAGTAATCGGTTCGCATGACCAACTTGCATGGCTGGCTAGACTAGTAAGTTGACTTGCGGTGAGATTGCGGAAAAAAAAGAGCTGCCAGTGCTCCAAGGACTAGCGAGTTTGACCACCTCCATTGTATGCCAGGGCGATTCAGCCAGTTGTGAAACCGGAGCAATTCCCGGTTAAGTGCCGGATGCATGACCATGGCATAAGTCTAACACAATGTCCGCACAAAACCGCTGCCAAGGGCAACGCCGCAAGCTGAATTGGGCGGGTCTCTAACAGACTCTGACGTTTCCGGAACTGTTGTTTAAGTCATTGCTCATAGTTTCCATCGGCTCTTCCATTCCCTGCTAGACATCCCTACACAGTTGTATGTATGTATAAAATGATGTGCACACATAATATACTCCCTACTTATCCCTTATAACCCCCGTATACCCTTCTGGCAAAGGCTTAGAGCTGGCCCGTTCCTTGGGCACAGGCCTTCCGGATGGCCCTCCGCTGTGCAGTCTCGTCCGTCATCTCAGGCAGGTGGAGACCAGCTGTAAACCTTTTTGGGCGTAGGGATATACGAGGAAATAGTCCCCCTTAGAAGGATAGAATATGGCTTTGGGTATATTATAATAACATCCCCGTATACACCATACTCTATCTACTTAAGGGGGACTATATATAGGAATATGCATAAGGATATGTAGGAATACTATGGGATATGTAGGGAGATATTGCATGAGGGTATATACGAATACATAGGGATGTAGATACTCGTATGTATGTGTATATATCTAGAGGGATAAATTTAAGGTATTGGAAAAGCGCCCATCTTGGCTTAGGATTTGGGAGTTTCCCAAAATTAGGAGTAACATGTTGGGGTTCCCATAATAGGGATTATAGTGTACAGCTGGGATTTCGGGAAACTACCATTGAAGGTGTAGGGATTGAAATTTAGGGGTTGGGGTTTAGGGTAAACCCTGTGGCTGACGGTTCAGAGCCACTGCTTAGGGGTTTAAGGGGTTATGGTTTAGTTTAGGGTTTAGGGTCTTGTGCACAGGGTCTAGACCTGAATATCTCCGAGCATGTTCTTCTAAAGACATCACCGTATGCGTATGAACAGAACTTGCTGGAAACGACCAGAAACCACCTAATTTTGTGAATTGCTTAGAACTTGATGTTAGGGCAAAGCATGGGTTCAGGGCATTTGTACCGCCAGCTTTTGAGAACTTGCGTCTGGGAATTAAGGCCCAGCGTCTGCATGTTTCTTGCGGACATGCCATACAGAATGTCTCTCGTAGTGAGCCTCCTTGGGCGTCTTTCAGTGTTCGTCTAAGGGCTCCAAAGTCCACATGCATGATACATCGATTACGTAGAAGCGTTAGCTGCCGAGCGAGCTTTTGCCGCGCCTTGAGGCAGTGGGACAAGCTGTTCAGAGGTAAAACTATCCCTGGTCCCCACGGTCATGCAGAGCCGCCTTCAGTCGAGCATCTCGTAGAGGCCCGGAAGGAAAAACGAAAATGCATCTCCGCGCAACAGAAAATGGAAAGGAAACACTTAGAGCAAGGCACAGCAGACCCTGAAACACAATAACTCCCTGTTCTGATTGTTCAGGTGGGCGGTTGTCAAAAATATGTCGCTTTTGGGGTACCCTAAATATGAGGTGCTGTACTATTATAGGGATCCAAAAAGGGACCCTAATTTTGACAACCACCCATATGTACTATAGTCAAAACTCCCTAAAGAACCGGAGATATTTTGGGACAACCACCTAGGTAACCCTAAACCCTAAACCCTAAACCCTAAACCGCGGTAAGTCGCTTGGCTAGCTCTTTCTGACCGGAGCTTCGGGAGATCTGAGCTCTCAACCTTTTCAGGACTCCAGAGAGCTCCTAACAGGATCTTCTGGTCGAGAAGTTTATCTAGCATATAGGGGTTCTATTGGGGTTATATTTTATAGTTTTATATAGGGGATATATTGGGGTTATGGACAGGATTTTCTGGCGTTTATAGTATTTTGGGGCTTATATAGGGATTCTACTGGGATGATGGAAAAGAAAATGGAAACTACTATTTTGGTGGTTTAGCGTGGGAATAGAGTCAGAGGGATTAGAGAAGTGTCAGGCGCCCTTCTTGGGAGTCTCGGAATAAGGGCCATAGCATATTGGGGCTGATAATTGGTTCCCCACGATGTACGGGAACCCCCATTTAGGATTCCCTTGCAGGGTCCCAAGCGATGCTTCTGAAATGCTAGCCACAATATGAATACCGCAAAATCGGTACTTTTGCAAAATTGAGGCGACAGGGTCGAAACTGGTACATCTGGGAAAATCATGGCCCGACTTAAGGGGGTCATAGCGGATAGGTAGCATTTAGGCTTGAGGATTTATGTGCGTCGAACCCCCCCCCACCCCCTAACATTAAATACTCACAATATACTATACCACAATGAGCAGTATTTAGTATTAGGGGGGTGGGTGGGTTTAATATGATTATTGGGGGAAGGGGATTACACAAGCCCTACTGCTCTCAGTACTTCATCTAGGTACTCATCACACTCTCTCGATAGGTGATGCGGCATTGTACAGCAACATACGCAAGCTTCCTACCCCTCTCATACAGAATTACACCCAAATATACCATCACCCCTATCGTAACCACCACCTCCGCCCCCGCCCCCGGAAAAAGGGTACCTCTGATTTTTGGAAACCCGCATGTCAGAGTTTCGCGAAACAGGCCGGCCTTTAAGGAGCCAGGGATACTCAGGGGATGCAATGCGAGTATAGAGGGGTATGGTGAAGAAACCTTCAGCCTAAAGCCCTGAAACCTTGCCTACAAGCCCAAACCCTGAACCCCAAAACCGCATGCCTTAAAACCCCGAACGCTAAACCCCTGAACCCCTGAACTCCAAATCCCAAACCCCTATATATCCCCATAATTAACATACATATATATATATACATATCTATCTATCTATCTACCTATCCCTATATATCCCTATAATATATCCCGGTATAACCCGCTCAGTCCTTATCGGTAAAGATCGCTGCAAGAAATTTGCGATGAGGGATTGCCGAAGGCCTCGGGCAAGAACTACCCGAAACTCAGGGAGCTGTTGCTTGGCTTCTGGAGGATTTTTCGGGATTATGGATATGGGCTTTATAGGGATATATACGAGTCATATGGGGGCATATAAGGTTATGCATAGGGTTATATAGGGCCTGGGGATAGAAATGGGTAAAGCAATAGAAAAAAAAAACAGATCATCAGATGAGTGCAGGATCCGACATAATGCCTGACCCACATTCAAGGCCGAGGTGGAGCTTGATATCTACCTTTTTTACGTTGAAGCCGTCACATGCACGCCTTGGGAATATGCTCCCCCACTGCTCCCTCACCGAGGATGCCGCTCGGCCAAGCGCTGGAACAAAGACTGCAAGGTTTCGACGCTGTGCTTCGGCTCCTGAAATGAATAATGCTGCTAGAAGCCATGGAACCATGTAAGATTGTGCCTTTGCCTGGGGATATGATGTGAAGGGCTTTTCGGCTATTGATGCCAGCACAAACATCATTGGCCATCAGCAGTTCGAGTATCTGGGCTGAATATCATCACGATGGTCAGTTGTAAAAAGCAGGAACCACCAAAGCACATATTGCTACCATGTCGTCGCAACATGGTGTAAGCTTCACTGTATGTCTTGGAGCTAGTGCTACCATGGCCAGAAACAGAAACTCTCATGGTGAGTAAAACCGATGTGGCGTGGCCAGCTTCTGTCCCCAAGAGTTGCCACGACAATGGATACACTGATACACTGAGACTCCAAAAAAGGCGAAGCACACACTACAAGGGGTGTCTCAAAACAGGCTGCCTGATATGATCCTGGGGATGTGTAGGGCCTATCTCAGATTGTAGCAGGCTCTTTTAGGAATTCTTGGGAGGAAGCCCCAGCGATACAACAAGGAGTCCGCAATGAATGAGGCCCCAGAAAAAAGGGTAATAAGACATAAGACCGCCCTAAGGATTCCCTGAGGCTCCTTAGAGTCCCATATGGTCTCCTAACAAGGAGCCCCCATGTATGGGGTCCCCTTAATGCTTCCTTAAATAACCAGCTGAGGGCCTAACACCAGGCGGAGGCGCGTCTTCCTCCTTCCTCAGGCAAGCAAAAGACTTCTTAAATGTCTCAAGCTACAAGGCCACCCTTGACAGAAAGTCCAGTCCACGGTAACACCGAGCCTGAAGGCCTGACCCCGGCTTGGTCCTTTCCTTCCTCATATATCCTCATATTCGCAACCCCATACCCCCAAAAAGCAGAGGGCACGGATGAGCCCTGACACCTGAACCCTAAACCCTTGACACAGTAGGTGTCTGAGGGGGCAGCGGTCCAGGTAGCGGAGCCCCGGTAAACTCGAAGCAAAACTTCTTGTGCCTGATGCGAGGGTTTCCTGCGTTCAAGGTTAAGCATTAGCTGGGCTCCCAACCTAGGGCCCTAATTTTTGGAAACCGCCATCAGCCAGGAAGCTCTTCAACAGCAAGGCCTTCTGGGCATGGGGAGTGGGTGCTGGCCTGAGACTCATCTCAACAGGACAATTCCATCACTCATCCTTCCTCAATTGCTCATAGAAGTCCCCATGTAGGGATCTAACTAAGCAGTCATGATGTTCAAGAACATCTCATCCTTCTTCTGGCCGTAAGATCATGCTCCAATCCCGGCATGACCACTTCCTTGTGCCTATGAATGAGGCAACATGGCGTGGCTAGCAGAAAGTTAATCTAAACACCACCATACTCCCCACTATGAAATCGCCGTTGCCATTTCATCATCGATTCGGTTCTGCATAATTCCGGTTCTTACAATCACCAAGGTGTCAGTAGAAACCCATTTAGCATAAACCACATACAAGCTACCCTTCAGTAGAAACCCCATTTAGCATAAACCCCATACAAGCTACCCTCAACCTGTCTCTGCATGCCTCAGCTTGATCCTGCTGAATGACAAAATTCTGCATGAGACTATGCCCCCAAACCCTAGGAACCATCGAAGAATACTAAATTAGGTACCTTTTAATGGGATTATAGAGGTCATATAGGGCTCCTATACGGGTTATACAGGGGTTATACAGGGTTATATACTTAGACTTACTAAGACTTACTATCATGCGGGATGTTTCGATCCCTTCGTCTCTTTTCTATCAGTGGCATCTTGCAGTCAAGACACTGAGGCGTCTTCGGCCTCAGCGCCAGCTTCGGGGTTCAGGGGTCAGGATTTTGCGGGTGATGATACAAGGTGAAGATGAGGGTTCAGGGTCTAGGGTTGGGGTTTAGGGTGTAGGGCTTACCTTGAAAAGTCAGTGGTGATGAAAAAGACTTGCTAAGGGCTAGGCCACTGAATTAACTCTGAACCGAGAACCCAAAATCAGCCGAACCCTTGCGTATACGTCTGAATGCGATGATGAATCGTTTTGGGTACCACATAAACCCAGACGAAAGAGGTCATTGACGAAATCGGAGTACTTGCGTTGCCTTCTGAAGCCCTACCGTAGACAGTCCAACTATTCAGGCTTGTGCTTATGGGAATGTCTCAGATGATTGCTATACGACGCTTACGACTCCCGTACATCTCCAGAGGGCCCCGAATTTGGAGAAGTCCCCATCGGGGGCCTCGAAGCGTTTGTCTCAAGCCACAATATGATTATTAAATACTATTGAAGTTACTATACTCACAATACCATAATACTGGTATAATAAAGTAGAGACTATCTGCTATAACCCTAAGCTTTTTTCGGGGGATTGTGAACCCGTCACCGAGTCAACGGCAGAGGCACCTTTGGCCGATGCTCGGAGCCACAACACCTAGGATCGACTCCATGGATGCAGGTTTGGGGGTTAGGGGTTTAAGGATGAAAGTTTTTAGGGTTCCAGGGATATGGGGTTCGGAGTGGGTCAAGAAGTCAAGGGTTTGGGCTTAGATGTTTGGCTTTGGATATGGGATTTAAGGCTCAGAGTCTGGGGATCAAACGCCCCTGCCCCTCCCCCTAGTATAGCTTTTTCTTTGGAGCAGCAGACTACACAGAGCACTTTTCCTCCAGGGTGGGGGCGTTCTGTCAGGAAGCACGCATCCTAACAATGGTCAACGTGCAAGGTACACTTCTCATAAGCAGTGCCCACACCACTCAAAGGAAATGCCAGTTTGCACACCATGCGCACGGCAGGTGCTTCAGTTGCAGGATCTCCTCGCAGTACTTTGCAATCCTCTGTTCTACCAGGATGCCACTACTGGGAGTGCAAATCTAAACCGCACAATGCCCTAGACGACCATGCCAAGCCCCTTTCCCTCACCCTTTAATCTAGGGAGTGCACGTTATTGCCAGGCGTTGTTCGTCCCTGTGCAGACACCTCGAGACAGCAGTGTCGGGAGGGGATCTTGGCTTGATGTCGGCACATGGATGCATTCACAGCAACGGTCCCGGAAAAAATCACGATGAAGGTGCTTTACAGGTTTCTAATTCGGGTGAGGGCAAAGAGACCCTCATCAAGCTGCACGTGCTTTGTCTTCTGTGCCAGTTAGCGGAACCCTAGACCACACATCTATGCGCGAAATCTAAAATCTATTCTAGCACGTTCTAGGACTAGGGTTCTTCTCAACTGAGTGAAGCAAAGCCCCGAACCTGAAAATCACCCAAGCTTCACGTCATACCCCTGCCCCAGCAATACCAAGGTCTCTTAGGTGTTTGGGGCCCTGTAGAACGAACTTACCCCGAAGCCATATTAGTTCCAAACTTTGTGGCTCAGCAATCCGAGCAAGCAAAGCAATTAAGATCCAAGAGAAGTTGCGTAAACTTCAACGGGAAGCAAGCAAGAATACTCTCGATTCATCTGAAACCAGCGGACGCTTCTATGCTTGCGGCAAAGTAAAGTGGGCCAAAACTGTTTAGGGTCTGGGGTGGGAGAGGATATGCTGATTGGACAAAGGCATGCTTTCCCACGTTTCTAGCCTGCAAGAAACTCAAAATCAGGACAACATAAAACGGCGATCCAAATTCTTAAGACCTACCTGTATCAATGATCAATATACAGCTGCCATCATCTGAGCAAGCCACGTCCTTCTACCAAAATGCAGTAATCTATCAACAGTCAGAACCTTACCAGACATGCGGCTACAAATTGCAGCGTTCTGCAGCACAGCAGCTGGATCACGTTGTCCAGGTTCGTCAAAGCTGGGAGCCTCTTAGGTCGAAGCGTGTGGGGCTTCAGGCATAGTGCCCTCAAACTGACATGGTACCTCATACAGCTACACTTTACACGGGGACGGTACGCCCACGTCATGCCTTCAGTCCCCAAGAGCATGTCACAAAATATCATGAACACACCCCAAAGCGGCACCAACAGACTAGATTTGAAAGACCGGGTCTTAAGACTAGGCATGGACAAGAATGTGCAGGCCCCCGTGTAAAGGCGTCGCATGAATTCACCCAAAAACCACACGAGCTGTAGCAGCGCCCAAGTTCCCGGACTAAAAATCGAGGGTGATCCAAATCGTGCTTCCTCCAACGGCCCCTGTTTCTAACACGCCCCTATCCGCAACCTGACAGCATTGCAGAAAGAGCGCTGCACAGGGAAGGCCAGCAAAAGGCTGGAATAAAGCGATTGATGAGTATCCCTGCCTTTACCCTCCCACCGCTCAGAACTATGAACATTGAAGTTAAAGTCATCAGGATCGGTCCTACCGTTTGGATGTTTTGCAACAAGCTCAGCAGATTGACTTGTTTGTGCATGCTAGGAGTTAAGGCCTGCGCCGCCTTTCCTTACACGTTGTCCTCACCTTGATTTACAAGCTCCCTCCTCAATAGGCGAAAATTAGAGGGCGATGTCGGGAACACCTCGCGCGCTAGAAAGGATTCCATTTTATTTTCCATGAACCCCATAATGCCCCTATATAATCCCTATAATATCCCTATATAATCCTTATATCACCGATGTTCGGCTGGCCTTGCATCTGGTGCATGCAAGGCCGACTCATACCTGGCAGCAGAGGCAGTTTGATCTACACCAAGGCAGGCTTCAGCTGATCTGGACAATTAGCGCTGCCTGCGTTGATAGAGGTGGTAGTCGTAGTTGTAGTAGTTGGTGGCCTTGGTGGTGGTGGTGGTGGTGGTGGTGGTGGTGGTGGTGGTGGTGGTGGTGGTGGTGGTGGTGGTGGTGGTCGTAGTGGTGGTGGTCGTAGTGGTCGTAGTGGTCGTAGTGGTGGTCGTAGTGGTGGTCGTAGTGGTGGTGGTGGTAGTAGTAGTAGTAGTTGTTGTTGTTGTTGTTGTTGTTGTCGTAGTGGTGGTCGTAGTGGTGGTGGTGGTAGTAGTAGTAGTAGTAGTAGTAGTAGGAGGAGGAGGAGGAGGAGTCGTAGCCGCAGTAGTACGGTAGCAGTAAAAGCAGTAGTAGTCGTCGTCGCGGAATAATGATACTCCTCATGCTCATCGTAAGATTAATACTCGTAGTCATAGAAATGTAATAGGAGCAGTAGCGTGACACTAATCAACAGTATAATTTGCGCTCCATATACGCTGTTGTCAACAGACCCTACACCCACCAAGTCCACAATGTCGCCGCCACCAAAGCCAGCCATAAATGACACTCTCGCCGCGGCGGGCCAACAAGAGCCCTAGTGCCTGTTGTAGGTCGGGAATCAACGAATGGATTTTAAAGGCTGCCGTATGGATGATTGCGAATATCAATCACAAATCTTTCTGGTTCTCAGTAGACCCTAAAGCCTATATAACTCCATGGTAGTTTCCATTTTCTTTTCCATTTTCCCAATATTACCCTTCAGGCGATCAAATCCTTGTATACTCTCCAGTCAATCGGCATCTCTTCCTTCGTCCCCTACTGTAATACTCCCCCAAGCAAAGATGAAACCCCATGCGGGCCCTCAAAATGCCAAGAGGGGTAGCCAAGGTACTAGAATATGGGGGTTTCCCAAAATTAAGGGTACGTTTTTGGTGTCCCTATAATAAGGACTATAGTATGTTGGGGTCTATATTGGGGTACCCTAATTTTGGCAAACTACCCTTTGAGGATTGAAGGTGCAATATGAAGGTTGTCCCCTATTCCAAAGTGGCTTTGGAAGTCTCATATGAAAGACTTTAACGCGGAACCCTACACCCTCAACCCCAAACCCTGGACCCAGAACCCGACACCCTAAACCCTACACCCTAAACCCTAAACCCTACACCCGAAGCCCCCTAAGCCCTCAACCCGAAGCCCTGAACCCTACATCCTAAACCCTAAACCCTCCACCCTCAACGCTGAGCCCTAAACCCTACCCCCAAACCGTAACTCTACACCCTAAACCCGAAGCCCTCAACCCTAAGCCCGAACCACAAAGGCGCACAAGGATCGAGAGGCCGGTCTTAAGCTGGCCCAGCGGCCCTGACCTGG